GCAGGTTGGAATTTTGCAGGTTGGGAATTTTGCAGGTTGGCATTTTGCAGGTTGGGGATTTTGCAGGTTGGAATTTTGCAGGTTGCCAGGAATTTTGCAGGTTGATGATGCAAACTTAAAATTACACCACTATAATGTATTCTAATATAATTTAATTGTTTACTTATTGCAGTCTGACTCCTTGTCGGCACTTTTGCTATCAGTCTATCCTGCTACAATGTTCCTAGCTTCTGCTCTGAAAATATTCAAAATGACCAGATTGGCTTGAACCTTCAGGGGGACGGATATTTCGATTGTTGCGAGGAGAGGCTAGGAACATGGCAACAGGGTAGGCTGATTAGCTGATATCAAAAGCGCCGACAAGGAGTCAGACTGCAATAAATGCACAACTAAGTTATACTAGAATACTAAAAAAGTGGTGTAATTTTAAGTTTGCATTATCAACCTGCAAAGTTCCTGGCAACCTGCAAAATTCCAACCTGCAAAATCCCCAACCTGCAAAATTCCAACCTGCAAAATCTCCAACCTGCAAAATTCCAACCTGCAAAATCCCCAACCTGCAAAATTCCAACCTGCAACCTGCGTTTTGTACCTGCCGGTAAATCACCTGAGGCAGTAGAGCTACGTCCACTGAGAACTAGATAAATGTTTTCATTAATAATTCATGAGGAAAAGTAAATCACCTGAGGCAGTAGAGCTACGTCCACTGAGAACTAGATAAATGTTTTCATTAATAATTCATGAGGAAAAGACAAAGCACCTGAGGCAGTAGAGCTACGTCCACTGAGAACTAGATAAATGTTTTCATTAATAATTCATGAGGAAAAGACAAAGCACCTGATGCAGTAGAGCTACGTCCACTGAGAACTAGATAAATGTTTTCATTAATAATTCATGAGGAAAAGACAAAGCACCTGAGGCAATAGAGCTACGTCCACTGAGAACTAGATAAATGTTTTCATTAATAATTCATGAGGAAAAGACAAAGCACCTGAGGCAGTAGAGCTACGTCCACTGAGAACTAGATAAATGTTTTCATTAATAATTCATGAGGAAAAGACAAAGCACCTGAGGCAATAGAGCTACGTCCACTGAGAACTAGATAAATGTTTTCATTAATAATTCATGAGGAAAAGGAAATCACTGCCGCGGTGTCGGTGGTTTTATGCAGGGTGTCCCAAAAAACTCCTAAACTATTGAGATAACGCTAGAATTTGAATGCCCTAACACTAAGCTGAACGCAAAGAGGCGTAAAATATTGATAAGGTGCATATAATTTTGTATATATATTATTAAATGCTTTACTGTAATATTGATTATTGGAGATGGGAAAAAAATTATAAAATTACAATTATCGAACCTTACCGCTAAAGACTCGTGTGTAATTTGTCCAATTGTTGAGAGTTTATATTATGTTTTCATTTGTACCTATTTGGCTATTACCCAGCGCGCACACAACATGAAATTGGCGTTGTTTCAAGGTTGAACCATAGATATCTTATATAGACTAGATAGCACATCTCTTTTAGTAAAATTGAAGCCAAGTATTCCAGCGGTTACCCCCATTGAATAGATGGCGGCCATGTTGGCGTTTCCCACTCGCTAATAAACGCTTAAAAAACAACAATAACTTTCATCATTTGAATAGTTTGAAAATGTATTCGGAATAGGTTTAACTTAATGTTTAAGTTCCCTGATTAAGAAATAGAAAACATACGAGTCTTCTCATTTCATGGGAATATCCTGAGACTGCAATCACGGCTTCAATTTTTGAATTGCAGAATAATTAGATGCACTATCTAGTGTATATAAGATATCTATGGGTTGAACAGGCATCGAAATGACGTTTTCAACCATTTAACGTCGATTTCACGTTCTTTGCCCGCTATAGGATGGCGGTTATTGCGCGTTATTCAATATTGGAATTGCGTTAATTAATTTTTTAAGTTAAAAAACCCGGTTTTTCGGTTTAACCGGTTTTTTTAGCGTACGGTTTACCGGTTTTAAAGTGCTTATGTCACAAAAATTTTTTTTTGATATTTGGTAGAGGACAAAAAGTTAGTTAATAGGTTCTTTAACATTTTTCGGTTTTCTCTTTTCATTCGCGAGATACGAGGCTCTAAACAGCGATTTTCGTAAAATTGTCGCGTATCAACAAGAGTCTGGGACGAGCGTGGTGTGACGTAACTTAAGGGACTTAATTTCGACGCGCATTATACATTCTATATATTTTCCAGCATGTCAGGCAGTAGCTCGGATTCGGAAAGCACTCATAGTTCTCAATGTGACTCAGAATACAATTATATTCCTGGATATATTATAGAGGATGAATCAAATGATACTAGTCACGAAATTGGAACTCTAGAAGCAGTTGATCGCGAAATTTTAGGCGATCATGCCTTTATGCCGATGAACCGCTAGCCGGCGAAGAATGGTACGCACGATATTTCAGAAATTCAGCAGAACACAAGCAACAAAAAGAGATGCTACAGCGAAGGTTAGATGGCCTTGAAGATATTAAATTATGGTGAGTGTAAACATAGAACATTTTTCATTTTAATGTAAAATAAGTATCTCTGGCTAATATATTTTTCGGGATACGGGCTCATATGGCATCAGTCACAACAAAGAGTTAAAACCACAATTCCCTCACCTTCGCAAGAAAATACAAGACACGAGATCAAAGAAAATATAAACAGACTGGTTCAGAGCAAATTACGTATATATTCTTGTTTGAAGCTACAGTGTTTATCTGTGATCACGTTTATTTAATACGAACGATACGATTGTATTTTCTCGCAAGTTCAATTCTTAAAGCCCATTTTTCCAAACAAATAGGTCTGAATCCCGAGTGTAGCTAGAGTGATACAGTACGGCGGCTGTGGCACATCTTCTAAAACGAAGTTATCCTTCAGAACATCCCTACAAGATTCCATCTCCTGACAGCACCAAGCTTCGTGTGTATATTGTATATGTATTATCGCACAATCGCCACATTTACACTTGTGAAATATGATACAGGTGAGGGTTTGATGTGACTGATGCCGTATCAAAAATATATCAGCCAGAGATACTTATTTTACGCCGTTAAAATGTTAAATATATCTATGTTTACGCTCACCATGATTTAATATCTTCAAGGCCGTCTAATCTTCGTTCTAGCATCTCGTTTTGTTCCTTGTGTTCCGCATAGTTATAAATATCGCGCGTAGCTTTTATCGCGCGTAGCATTCTTGGCTCGCTAGCGGCTCATCGGCATAAAGACAATATGCATCATAATCGCCTAAAATTTCGCTATCAACTGCTTCTAGAGTTCCAATTTCGTGACTAGTATCATTTGATTCATCCTGTATAATATACCTAGGAATATAATTGTATTCTGAGTCACATTGAGAACCATGAGTGCTGGAACACATATGTGTTCCCAATAGCTTTTTAGTACTCCTTCACATGTGAATTCGAACTTCCGTCCCTTAAGCTACGTCACACGGGTCTCGCCCCAGACCCTTTTCCGTTTTTTTCTTGGGCGCGACAATTTTTCGCTAAAAGCCAATTTTTCAAGGTTTAGAGCCTCATATCTCGCGAATGAAAAGAGAAAACCGAAAAATGTTAAAGAACCTATTAACTAACTTTTTGTCCTCTACCAAATATCAAAAAAAGATTTTTGTGACATAAGCACTTTAAAGAAAATAGGCTGCAGATGCATCCATCAAAATGTAAAATGATGTTTATTGGCTCCCCGTATAATCTTAATAATATAATGTGTGAGGAACCCGTTGTGGCTAATGCAAAACCCATATCACGAATTGCTACACAAATGTGCCTAGGAGTAAAACTAGATGAAACCCAACCTCGTACCCAGGGCTTCTGCGCTTATTGCTCTCAGAAGCCCTGGGATAATCCAACTCAGAACGTGATTTGATTGGTCAACGTGAATACAATGAAAGTACCGGAAGTTATTCATTAACCGGGTGATATTTTGGCAACATGTCTGCTATCACAAGGAGTGTATACAAAAGTCAAATGCTGGTTTTTGCATAAAAATACTTTTTTTGAACCAAATTCTGGGCTATTTTGAAAAGAGCAAAAGAAGAAATGGACCATTTGTATTTGTAAATAAGCAAGAATGGCGAACAAAGTAAAAAATTTAATTAACATAATAAAGCGAAACATTTCTCGTTCGAAAATTGAAATTTCAAGTATAAATCTACAACTTCAACCACGATATTCAATGTAAATATTACATAATAAAGTTTTTAATACCTTTTTTACCTTTATTTGATAAATTGTGTGTTCTATATTTATTGCATTTTGTATTGGAATAGGATAAATTATGAATTATACACAAATATTTAAATTTACAAATTATTACCAATTTGAGGAGCATGGGTGCACTGGCTCAGAGTTTGTATTAGTGCCTACTTATTATTGAGTTATTAGTGCCTCTAAGTCCTATATAGCATATTTCCCCCAATATTGAGAGAATAATTTCTCATATTTATTTTTATAATAAGCCACTATTGCCCAACTGTGAAGTAAATATTGCCCGACTGGCCTAGTCTGCCCAACAATTGAGCCCAGCCCTGCATGCCTATATAACCAGGCCTACAGGTGGACTCCCAACCTGTTGGTCACAATTTTTCTTTCTCCAAAATTTGCCCTCCCCATGTACAAGGATTGACAATTTGATTAGATTTGAAAAAAAACCCAGTTATATTGGGTCATTCCAGAAAATACCCATACCACTCCCACAGAGGAAATTGAAAGTTAATCCCTTCTACCCCTTTGGATGTCCTAATACATTTACTATTATCAGAACAATTTTCCCCCCTCCCCCCCTGAACGGCAGAAATTTCCTCTGTGGGGAGAGTGTGGATATTTTCTGGAACGACCTATTTGAGAAATGCTTTTGCACAAATTTTAAATTTTCTTACAATTTTCTTGCATGTCAGAACACTGTTCTAAGTTGCAACTAAAATTCAGAGGTCTAAAAGGCTCAAGTCAATTCCAGTGGTGTAACCAGAGGGGGTGGGGGTCAAAATATTTTAAATGTTCTGAACTTGTTTGTAATTAATTAGAGTTGAACATGTTTTAACTGCAAGGTTATTTCAAATCACCAAAACACATTAAAATAGCCCCCCAAAATGGCACTTTATTAACTAGAATTTAAAAAGTCTACATTGTACTATATTATACATGGATAGCTTGGGAGTCCAAATATATTTTTACATACTAACGAACTTTATTCAAACTAGTGCAGGCCCCTCCTGGGGATTTCAGTCCCCCTTGAAGGCCTTAATTAGAAATTCTGGCTACATCACTGCTCAATTCCATTGCCAATGATGGTGTTAGCATGATTAGACAGAGTAGGTTAACAAACTAGTGTATTATGACATAATCCATTGAACACCAATGATCTATCCTAACATATAAAATCATCTGGTGCAGTGGTGGATCCAGCAAAGTTTTTTGGGGGTGCTAACCAATGGCTTCTAGGGTGGTCCGGGGGCATAATACCACGGAAAATTTTTAAAATTTGGGTCTCTGAAATGGCATTTCCAGCATTCTGAGAAAACATTCTGGAAAATTTTTAGATTCTCAAAACATTTAAAAATTCAGAATATTTAATATTGGCTATTCCACTATTGTCAACTTAGTGATACGCAACTGAATTCCTTAACATAAGTTGGTTAGAATTAGGATAAACGTCATTTTTGCACCCCCCCCCATGCACCCCTGTTGACCAGAGCCTGGGGGGGGGGGGTGCACACCAAAGTAAAATAAAAAGTAAGACACAATGTATAACTTAATAGGTAAGGTTAATGGCCAGAACTAAATGAGAAACTATATTTTATAATAAACCCAAATTAGTTCAGCACCATTGGTTCTTATAACACTGTTCATTCCAACTTAGAGCATCAGCAATTAACAAAAGTTGGAGTTTCATCTGATGACATGTATGCTTCTAACCATGCTGTCCATGCAGCTATCTGACAGTTTTCAATTTTCAACATTGATTCCCAAAGCCATTATTCTCAAGATAACAAGATTTGCCAAAAAGGTTTTCCAAATATTAAAGTACAGAATTATATTACATCACTCATCACTGTTCATTTCACATTCTTCAAGTAGATGCATGTTTACAGTACAGTATATCTTGTGCATTTATAATTAAATCTTGCAATATCTTGTTCAAAACCCTCAAATCCAAGATAATCGGCAGCCAGCCATGTTACCAGTAAGATTTCTAGTCTGTTAATTTTGAAATGACCAAGGTTGTACTCGAATATAAATATTTATACTTTAATTATTGAATAGCCCCTGTATATCGCTGACAAGGTATGCTGTTGTCGCGATATAAGATGTTCTTTTGCTCGCCAAAGGGCTAATTTTACGCATAATTGTATCTCTAAATTGATCATTCCTGACTTTAAATTCCAAAAGCCACGCGAGAAGCAGTTTAAGACGTCTTTACAAGTCCAAATATATCATAAATTGCAACAAATAATCCATTCTCACTCCTTGCGTAAAAATATGCCCAGTCAGCGTTTTTAGCTGGAGCTACTGTTTACTTCCGCTTCCGGAGGCACCACTGTTCTATGGTGTTCCGGTTTGGATTATCCCAGGGCTTCTGAGAGCAATAAGCGCAGAAGCCCTGGGTACGAGGTTGGCGGTTACCACATTTGTCAAAGTGGCTGATACCCCAGATAGAGTTTCAAGACAGCTGCTGCCGGATGACAGTTAGACATTTATTTGAGCGTTACCATCACTCATACTATAGCTGGATAATCAGGGAGGCCAGAAAAAACCTGGAATATACAGGAAACCTGGATGGGACCAAGACAACCAGCAGCTTCCCCACAAAGCTTCTATCTTACAAGTTCTTAATTGGAGGGTTGGTAACACGACAAACAAAGCTCACCATCAAGGCACATAATTATTTATTATCAGAGTAAATTACGTTATTTTGCATGAACTCGTGCATGTTATGTGCCAATTAGGATGGGCTGTGTTGTGCCCTATGATTGGTCAAAGCACAGAACAGAGTCGTACAAGGTTTTCAATTGGTTCACAGTGTGTTTCACGGTTTGTTCACGTGAATGTGTGCTAGCTGGCAGAAGATGATCTTTGACCTATCTGTCAAGACCTTAGGCCTAACTGTCAAAGATTAGGTTGATATAAACCATATCTACCTCCTCATCTTACCATCACACCTTGTCTCATTAACTTAAATTTATATAGGCTATAAATTTGCTTTAACAAGTTGTTCCGTATTTGTTGACAGCTTGGGAGAAGCAGTGCGAACACAATTTGTTGACGACTTGTCGGCAGACTTGCTAGAAGATGTGAGATTTTTGCGTGTGTCCTTTATTTTTTTTACTCTGCATAAGGCATTGAAATGAATATAACTGGAACGCCTTTCTTACAGTGTATATGACACGAAATTTCTTATTTTCTTAAATGAACGAACTCTTTAAGCTGTAGTGTAACTTATTTTTCAGTTTCTTGTTTTTGTTGCATGCCCATATATGGCATGCAGCTATCATATAGCTTAAAATTCGTGTCCGTTGTTGTTGTCGTTGAAACTTGCGGCAGATCACGTGAAATTTGAGATAATACGACGAATACCGAGTTATACGGACAAGCATTTATGAGTTTTATATTATTACAACAACGTGGAATTTGAGCTGAAAATCCGCTTTCGAGAGTCGCCTTTAATAAACAAAAGTAGATCGAGGTAAGTTTAAAAGTTTGGCTGCTTTTAATTTATTTTACATTCTGTTATTTGTTGTGATTTTGGAGCCGTTGTGCTCGCAGGGCTATTAGCGTGAAAGGCCACGCTCTCAAAATACTCAAACTGAACGGAGCCATTGTGCTCGCACTGATTATTTACCAGGGCTATTTTAATAGCGTGAAAGGCCACGCTCTCAAAATACTCAAGTTGAAACGGAGCCATTGTGCTCGCACTGATTATTTATCAGGGCGCTATTAGGAAAGGCCACGCTCTCAAATTGAACCTTGCCATTGTGCAGGTATAAAAAAGCAGCCCATTGCCATTGTGCTGGGATTATTGAGACTTTGCCATTGTGCAATTTTAAAACAATTACAAATACAAACTGTCAAAGACAATACTGAAAGTACACAAACTACAGTACACTAGTTATTGACAATTTAATACTGTAACGAAACTATATTAATTATTCCAAACAGTGAGAATACCATATGGGTGTGCCAATTGAGATATACCAAGCAAGAATTGGTTCGCATAACAATTTTGTGCAAGGACGACAGTGTATGAATCAAATGAAAGGTAAATTTTGGAACCATATGTTAGTAATGTTCTACTTAGAAATATTTTATTTACCATGCTTGAAAATTCTAGTTGCAAAGATTGAAAGTAATAATGAAGTTTGCATGTGGTATACACAGATGGTATCTTATCATGTTTATGTGCCATTGCTATTGAGGCTTGCAAATGATGTAGAGGAAAATCCAGGCCCAATTAATATCCATGATATTGTTGATCATAGTTTTACGGTTCGAGCAGATTTCAACCAAGGTAATATATCCATGTTTGGAATAAATGCTGGAAAACAATGTGTTGCCATGTCAATTTATGCTATTGTATACAATGAAATAAATTCTGTTAAAGTGTCTATGACACGAAATTTCACCCCAAATCTTTATGCTTGCATTGTAAAGATCACTTAAAATGACATAATAATTTCTTTTATAGAATTTTGATAACTTGCTTCCTTTGCAAGATATTCAACTTCGTTTCATATGCAAATATCACCGGTGTGACATCACATCGCGTAATGACATTTTGAAAACGCAATATTTTACCTTGATAAAGTATTTTTACAAACAAATACAGAGGTTTAATTACCAGTTATGAAATAAATACATATACAAGGGCAATTTTTAAGTTTTTTAGATACGTATTCGTCAAGAAAACTATGCTTTTCTGAAAACTCATTATGTGATGTGATGTCACACCGGTGATATTTGCATATGAAACAAAGTTGAATATCTTGAAAAGGGAGCAAGTTACCAAAATTCTATAAAAGAAATTATTAAGTCATTTCAAGTAATCTTTCCAATGCAATCACAAACATTTGGGGTGAAATTTCGTGTCATAGGCACTTTAATATTTGGGATAGACCACTTATGAACATGCTTCTAGTTAATGCAAACAATCTTTACGCCATAATTAGTCAGCACGTTCTGAAAGATTTCTTGTTGCTCACTGATGTTCCTGAAATATTGTCTATCAACAATGATACTTTTAATTCGGAGTATAGCGACTCTTTTTCTGGAGCATTATGGATGGAATATAACAATGAACCGTTGTTACACTTGAACATGCTTTTCATGAAGTATTTGACGCTAGTAATTATAAAGCATGTTTACTTACTATTCAAGCAAACACTGTTGCGGTTTTAATGCCTTTCCCAGATGTATTTAAAGTTTTTGATTCTCATTCACGAGATATGCATGGAATGCCAGCGGCAATGGGCTATAGTGTTTTAGTTTCTGTTGAAGGAATTCAAAAGCGTGTGGGTTTTTTTTCATCACAGTTGTAACTGTCATGGACAAGATATTCCCTTTGAATTGAAGGGTGTTAAATGCCATAGAAACATTTCATTGTCAAATAGTTTGGGTAACACATTGAATGAACGGATAAACACAACATCAAATAACCATGAGAAATGCAGTCAGAAAAGACAAAGTGAGACAATTACAATCCGAAAAAGCAATCAACGAACAAAACAACAAGAAAAAGAAAATAAACTTGCAAAGCAAAGAGAGAAAAGGCAACAAGAGTCTGTTGCAGAGAGGAAAAATAGACTTGCAATGCTAAGAGAGAAAAGACATCAAGAGTCTGTTGCAGAGAGAGAAAATAGACTTGCAAATTAAGCTAAGAGAGAAAAGACAACAAGAGTGTGTTGCCGAGAGAGAAAATAGACTCGCAAAGCTAAGAGAGAAAAGACAACAAGAGTCTGTTGCAGCGAAACAAAATAGACTTGCAAAGCAAAGAGAGGAAAGACAACAACAGCTGTTGCCAAGAGAGAAAATAGACTCGCAAAGCTAAGAGAGAAAAGAAAACAAGAGTCTTTTGCAGAGAGGGAAACTAGACTTAACCCTACTTGTACCGGGGGTGCGCACAATGAGCGCACCCCCATAAATATTTATCCGTCATTCCTGAACAAATGATCCGATTTGCCTGTACTTTCATGACTTTTAATATTTTGAAAATTCAAAGTTATTCGGACGTTTGGCGACATTTGTCAAAGAAGGTGTCGGTGCCAAAAATGGGTAAATGTGGGTTGGACAGTATTTTTTGGCTTCAATCACTTCCCAGGTCATAAATAACATAATATAATAAGAGAACATATAAATATGGATTATTACACATGATTTGCAAAGTAAAATATCCATAATATATTATATAAAATAGTAAAATATAGTATAACATATAATATAGCATACTATACAATACTTATAAATATATAATATAAAATACTTATTTATAATATTTTTATATATTCAAATACAAATACATATTTCTTTGTACCTTCAAGGCATAACATCTCCCTGCCTTTCAGCAAGAATCAAACTTGTAGGAAGCATTATATATTGAACACTTTCGTACCAGAAATTCAGTTCCAAATGAGAGTAAAACTTTTGCATACAATCCAGAATGATTGCCATATTTTCAAAGTAAATATTGTGTTTTCAAAACTATACTGCAGGCTCGTATCTCGTAGCTCACCTGCCTTACACTTCATGTAACGCATAGTATATTGGTATAAAACATGGCTGCCATTTCGTATTTTTTCTACAAACTTTTGTTGGTCGACATTTTATGTTTACACTGCAGAAGTTATGCCAAAAAAAGTGCTAGAGTTTCAACAGAATGCACAATTGTGCATACTATGAGAATAATGGAACATTATTAATACAACAATGACACTGTCACAAAGATATGAAGGTAAAATCAGTGATGTTGAAACTTGAAAATGATTTGGATTGTTTATATGAGAGACTGGTAAGTTTCAATTGTATGTCTTTCCATACGGCACAGAAATGTCAACTTGGAAAGTAAAATAGTGGTGTTTATGGACATCTGAGATATGCTATAACATAAAAGTATGTCTTTTGAATGTAAAAGACCCAAAAAATATCACATCCAAAATGTTTTGTTATCTCTTTACAAAATAGAACCAAAATGGGTAAAATATTAGCTATATTCGCCATTTTCGGACAGGCGGTCATATTCATTGGGGCCAAAAAACAGCATTTTGGATGTGAATTTAACTTTTTTGTTATTTTTAGGTTAAAGAAAGATAAAACTTACTAAAAATAAAACTTATTGGATAATAGCAGTTAATCGACAGAATTTCTGAGGGGTGCGCCCTATCAGCGCACCCCCGGTCATATCAACATGAAAACCCCCCGGTACAAATAGGGTTAAACACCAGCGAGAAACAAAAAGGTTGAAAAGGCAAAACGAGACTGTCGAACAAAGAAAACAAAGATTGGCAAAAGCACAAGTTAATTATAAAGCAAATAAAAGTAGATGTTCTGGAAAAAACAAACCATGTCCTCCATCAGGTTCTCAAGAGCATCACAGTAATGATAACAGTATATCACATAATAGTGTATCACAATTGATACATAAATTCCATAAATCTGTATCAACAGGTCCTCTGTATATTTGTTCGTACTGTGATCAATTATGGTATAAACATAGTGTTTGTCCAGCCGAGAGACTTCGATTGTGCAATCCAAATTCTACTAAACATCTACAACGTATTAAAAATGTGGATGATATTGAATGGCTGTGTTTTACATGTGACAAACATTTTAAAAAGAATAAAGTGCCACCATCTGCAACTTCAAATATTAATGCATGAAGTTTCCAGTAAAACCTGACTTCTTTGATTTAAATGAATTAGAATGCAGACTTATAGCTCCAAGATTGGCCTTCCAAAAAATAATGCAAGCCCCCAGGGGAGGGCAACTTAAAATTACTGGTAATGTTGTGAATGTTCCAGCAGATATATTTGATACTTTTAACAAGCTACCCAGCTTACCACAAGATACTGGCACTATTAAAGTTCAATTGAAACGTCGACTGCAATATACGAGTTCTTCCTTGTCTTTGAATGTGAGACCTAATAAAGTGATGCAAGGTGCAGACCTAATAAAGTGATGCAAGGTGCAAGGCTAAGTTTTTTCACATTTTGTCATATCTCACGAACTATTGGTCCAATCCACTTGAAAGTCAAAGCGTTGTGCTCAGCAGGTTGCATGTGACCGATTAGCACTGTTATTCTCCAATTTGCAAAAATAAGTTTTTCCAACATTTTGTCATATCTCACGAACTATTGGGTCAATCGACCTGAAAGTCAACGCGTTGTCCTCAGCAGGTTGTGGGTGACCGATTAGCACTGTTATTCTCCAATTTTCAAAAATAAGTTTTTTCAAGATTTTGTCATATCTCACGACCTATTGGGCCAATCGACCTGAAAGTCAACGCGTTGTGCTCAGCAGTTTGCGGGTGACCGATTAGCACTGTTATTCTCCAATTTGCAAAAATAAGTTTTTTCAACATTTTGTCATATCGCACGAACTATTGGGCCAATCGACCTGAAAGTCAACGCGTTATCCTCAGCAGGTTGCGGGTGACCGATTAGCCCTTGTTACTCTCCAATTTGCCAAAATAAGTTTTTTCAGGATTTTGTCATATCTCACGAACTATTTGGCCATTCGACCTGAAAGTCAACGCGTTGTGCTCAGCAGGTTTCATGTGACCGATTAGCACTGTTATTCTCCAATTTGCCAGAATATGTTTTTTCAACATTTTGTCATATCTCACGAACTATTGGACCAATTGACCTGAAATTCAACGGATTGTGCTCAGCAGGTTGCGGGTGACCGATTAGCACTGTTATTCTCCAATTTGCAAAAATAAGTTTTTCAACATTTTGTCATATCTCACGAACTATTAGGCCAATCGACCTGAAAGCAACGGGTTGTGCTCAGCTGGTGGCGGGTGACCCAATAGCACTCGTTGTGCTCAACCGGTCGCGGGTGACTGATTAGCACTGTTATTCTCCAATATGCAAAAATAAGTTTTTTCAACATTTTGTCATATCTCACGAACTATTGGGCCAATCGACCTGAAAGTCAACGCGTTGTCCTCAGCAGGTTGTGGGTGACCGATTAGCACTGTTATTCTCCAATTTGCAAAAATAAGTTTTTTCAAGATTTTGTCATATCTCACGAACTATTGGGCCAATCGACTTGAAAGTCAAAGCGTTGTCCCAGCATGTTGCGTGTGACCGATTAACACTGTTATTCTCCAATTTGCAAAAATAAAAGTTTTTTCAACATTTTGTCATATCTCACGAACTATTGGGCCAATCGACCTGAAAGTCAACGCGTTGTCCTCAGCAGGTTGTGGGCGACCGATTCGCACTGGTATTCTCCAATTTGCAAAAATACGTTTTTTCAAGATTTTGTCATATCTCACGAACTATTGGGCCAATCGACTCGAAAGTCAAAGCGTTGTGCTCAGCATATTGCGTGTGACCGATTAGCACTGTTATTCTCCAATTTGCAAAAATAAGTTTTTTCAACATTTTGTCATATCTCACGAACTATTGGGCCAATCGACCTGAAAGTCAACTCGTTGTCCTCGGCAGTTTCCGGGTGACCGAATAGCACTGTTATTCTCCAATTTGCAAAAATAAGTTTTTTCAACATTTTGTCATATCTCACGAACTATTGGGCCAATGGACCTGAAAGGCAACGGTTTGTGCTCAGCAGGTTGCGGGTGACCCAATAGCACGCGTTGTGCTCAACTGGTCGCGGGTGACTGATTAGCACTGTTATTCTCCAATTTGCAAAAATAAGTTTTTTCAACATTTTGTCATATCTCACGAACTATTGGGCCAATCGACATGAAAGTCAACGCGTTGTCCTCAGCAGGTTTTGGATGACCGATTAGCACTGTTATTCTCCAATTTGGAAAAATAAGTTTTTTCAAGATTTTGTCATATCTCACGAACTATTGGGCCAGTCGACTTGAAAGTCAAAGCGTTGTGCCCAGCATGTTGCGTGTGACCGATTAACACTGTTATTCTCCAATTTGCAAAAATAAAAGTTTTTTCAACATTTTGTCATATCTCACGAACTATTGGGCCAATCGACCTGAAAGTCAACGCGTTGTCCTCGGCAGTTTGCGGGTGACCGAATAGCACTGTTATTCTCCAATTTGCAAAAATAAGTTTTTTCAACATTTTGTCATATCTCACGGACTATTGGGCCAATGGACCTGAAAGGCAACGGGTTGTGCTCAGCAGGTTACGGGTGACCCAATAGCACGCGTTGTGCTCAACCGGTCGCGGGTGACTGATTAGCACTGTTATTCTCCTATTTGCAAAAATAAGTTTTTTCACCATTTTGTCATATCTCACGAACTATTGGGCTAATCGACCTGAAAGTCAACGCGTTGTGCTCAGCTGGTCGCGGCTGACGGATTAGGACTGTTATTCTCCAATTTGCAAAAATAAGTTTTTCCAACATTTTGTCATATCTCACGAACTTATTGGGCTAATCGACGTTAAAGTCAACGCGTTGTCCTTAGCAGGTTGCGGGTGACCGATTAGTACTGTTATTCTCCAATTTGCAAAAATAAGTTTTTTTGAAAATTTTGTCATATCTCACGAACTATTGGGCCAATCGACCTGAAAGGCAACGGGTTGTGCTCAGCTGGTGGCGGGTGACCCAATAGCACTCGTTGTGCTCAACCGGTCGCGGGTGACTGATTAGCACTGTTATTCTCCAATATGCAAAAATAATTTTTTTCAACATTTTCTCATATCTCACGAACTATTGGGCCAATCGAC